CTTGGAAAGACAAGTTGCTTTGCCATAAAACTTGAAGAGGGGGTAGGAAAAATCACCAATAATCCACTAAGCACAATAACAAGTGTGGTGTTATATGTTCCTTTTTTGTGGTGTATGTGTATCTCTTTGTGTGCATGCATGGTTGTGTGTGGCTTTGCTTATCACATGTACACACATGGAGGCTAGAGGCTCTTGTTGGAATGCTTTTACCACTTCTCTAATTTTTTTGAAACAGGGTCATTTTGTTGTTGTTTTGTTTTGTTTTTGTTTGTTTTTTCAAGACAGGGTTTCTCTGTGTGACATTCCTGGCTGTCCTTGAACTCACTCTGTAGACCAGGCTGGCCTCGAACTCACAGACCTCCACCTTCCTCTGCCTCCCTCATGCTGATTAAGGGTGTGTGCACAACACTGCCCGGCAAGGCAGGGTCTTCTACTGAGCCAGAAGCTTGCCATTTTAACTATGCTTACTGTCTAGTGAGTGAGTCTCCAGGATCCTCCTGTCTTTGCCTTCCAGTGTTGGGATTACAGATATGTACCACCATATCCAGCAACTCAATCTTTTATGCCCGTTCTCTGACCTCACATTATTAAAATTTAAAAAAGAGGAGAGTGTAGTATAATGCAACCTATTTCAACAGTGATAAGCATTCTTCATATTTTGTTTCATCTATCTCCACTCTACATTTTCTCCTTCCGAGTATTTAAAACTGAACCCAATATGTATTATTTCACCTGCGAACACTTTTCTTTATATCTATGGCAGATGAGACTAAAAAGCATCTAAATCATGTTGTTACTGTGCTTTACAGATTGTTGACATACTTTTCTTTCCTCTCTCCTACTTCCTTCTATTCCTTTTCTTTCCCATTCTCATTTTTTTTTCTTGCCTTTTTTCTTTTTGAGATAGAGTATCTAGTTCAGACTGGCCTCAAGTTCGCGATATCCCTAAGGGTGACTTTGAATTCCTGCTGGGATTACAGGAGTGTTCCACTGTGCAGTGTCTCTGCAGTGCTGGGGGTTAAACCCAGTGCTGCACACATGCTAGGCAAGCACTCGATCGATCGTCTCAGTTACTTCCCCAGTGCGTTTCCCTTTCTGTTTTCTTTAATGAGAGACAGTCTTGTGGTATTGCCTAGACTGACGGAACTCCCAAACTCAAAGTGATTCTCCTGCCTCAGCCCCTTCAGTAAGTGGGACTATGTACCACCGTATCTCTCTGTTACTGGTATTTATTATTAGTGTGTGTGACCATCACAGGCAGTTCCCTCCCTGGAGGGAAGGCCAGGGAGTATGCTTGGTAGATAACAAAACTAAGGCTCCAAGAGAGTGGGTTACTTGGACAAGGTCCCAGAGCTAATGAATGTCAAGAGAGAGGCTCAAATTTAGGCAGTATGAGGGGTGTTGTTTGCCAAGGCTCTACCGAGCATGTGGCTCCAGGCCCAGCACTGAGCATGGGGTGTAGGCCCCGCCCCTGGCAAATACAGCAAGGGGATGGCTGTAGGAACTCTTTGGGAAGGGTTTCAGCCTGACTGCTTCCATTTCTTTTCCTCCTTTCTCTTCATCTTCCCCTTTGTCTTTCTTCCTTTTTCGGTTGATTGGCAATATTTGATTCTATAATAAAGAAATCTTTCTGCCCAAGAACAAGTTTTGGAAATATAGAGTTGGAAATATACTGCTCTCTCTGAGACAGCTCACAATGAATGCAGGCGAGGTACAGCCACTCTCCCAAAGGTAAGCTGGCTTGGGAATTTTCCGTTGCTTTTTTTCCCCTTATTTTTAAATTTTACTTATTTACTTTTTCAGGGACCAGGTAATACATTCACATGGTTAAAAAATCAGAAGGTACAAAAAGAAACACTGCAAGTCTACCTCACTTCTGCAGCCACTTGCCACCTGGTTCCACTGCCTGGAGGCAACTGAAGTGTCCCAGTTTCTTGTGTATTTTTCCAAAGATGTTTTATGCAAATGCATGCATATACAATATATATATATATATATATAAATGTTTTTTTCTTCAGTGGTGGGAATTGACTTCAGGGCTTCACACACACATATATCTTTTTTAAGATGGCTACTTTTAACCCTCAAGTTGTAGACACAGCCTAAAATTGTCTTATAGTCTCTCTGGCCCTGGTGTATGTCTGGGGCCCAGTGGAAGCCCTCATATGCACAATATTTGGGCCTTTTTTTTTGAGACAGGCTCTCATATAGCCCTGGCTGGCCTTGAACCACTGCTTTTAACCTCTTAAGTGCTACAATTATAGGCATGTGGCACCACACACAGTTTTTGAGGCTCTTGTCACATGCGCCTATCTTTGAAAAGTCAGTAACTCCTCACAAGAACCCATGACATACAGAAATAATTTTCTCTACGTTCTATGTGAGGAAACAGACCCAGCAAGGCCAAGCACCTTGCTGAAAAGCATAGGACCCGTTCACGTATGTGTTGTAGGGTGAGGGCCCACGAGTAGTGTGTGGCTTGATCCAGCACTGACTTTGGAAGCAATAAGAAAGTTGCTTACTCCAAAGTCACAGTTAAAAAAATATTTAGTGTTACTAGTGTGGGGTGTGGGGCTGTGGAAAAAGTAAGGGAGCTTGCAGTTCGGACTAGGGTCCTCTCCCACTCACTATGGGGCAAGTCTCATCAATTCGTAGCCTCCGTTTCTTCATCTCTAAAGTAGGTATGACAATACCTATCGAGCAGGAAAGCAAACGACATACTTTAAGAAGAAATGACCTATAAGACAGGGTGCATTCTAATGTTTGCCTCACGGTTGTCATTAGAGTCACTGGGCTTGATCTTAGTATTACAGCAGATGGGTGGACATCAGCCTTCGCCTGATGAGAGCCTAAGCTCACATCAGTATACACTTGCCTTGCCCTGGAGCTCATTTCTCCTGGGGCTGTGCTCAGAGCCTCCTGCGCAGTAAGAACAGCCCTGAGGCTGAGCACAAGTCTGCACAGTGGGAGGTTCTAACTGACTTTGATCTTTATCACAGAGGATGAGATAAAGACCATTTACAAAATTTAAAAAAATTATTCTGACATTTTCATACATGTACATAATGAATTTTGATCTCATTCATCCCCATTACCCCTATTCCACATCTCCTCCAGCTGAACCCCTTCTAACAAACAAGTCTCTTCCTACCCTCATGTCTTTTCTTTTGGTGACTGAGTTTAATTAGTACTGCTTGAACAGGCAATTCATTTTAGCTTATTATTTTATTTAGTGGACTAGGGGTGGAACTCAGAGCCTCATGGGGAGTAGGCAGGAACTCTACCACTGAGCTATACCCAAGCCTATTCTTATATTGCAAAAATAAAATGTAATTCACTAGAGGAAATGTGAAAAAATATGAAAAAAAACCCCAAAAGCAAAACAAATCATCTTACAATTTCCTAGTCCACAAAAGGCCATCTCAACTTACATTTTGGTGCTTTCCCTCATAGCCATTACTGCCTCCATGCCTTTACAATTCTGGACAGAGCAGTTCTTAACCTGCTGTGTTGGTTTTATTTTGTAAAATTTATGTGATTCCTGGTTTTACCTGTTGTTCCTTTTTGCCTAATGTTTTCCTGTCTTTTATTTCTCTTCTTCCCTCTCCTTTGTCCTTTCTTGCCTCTCCTATTTTTGATGTGTTAAGGGACAGAACCCAGGTCCTTGCACACGCTGAGCAAATGCCCTACACTGAACAGCACTCCAGGCCAGCATATCCTATAGGAATGCAATGAATGACAGCCTGGAGGCCCCTGCACTAGTGTCCTCTAGGTTTGGCAGAAGGTCATCAGCTCGGTAGCTTCTTTGGATCCTGTTGGGCCAGAACTGAGGCAGAGCCCGCCTAGCCAGGAGAAGGGCTCCCAAGGCAAAAGGCTCCCCTAGTACCCCAAGAACCTTCTCTTATTCTTTTGTTCTCAGGCTCTTATCCTTGACTAGGTCCATCTCCACTGAAAAGGCTACAGGGTACTAGCTAGCCGTTGTTTTTAAGCTGGTTGCCTCTCAGGACTAAGGCCTTCCCAGGGACTTTGGAGATAGGTCCCCTTGGAAGGACTAGAGTGGGGACCTGGAAGTGGGATAAGCAAACCTCTGAGAGGACAAACCGTGCCACCTGCCCATCCAGCACCACCTCACTCTTCAATTCTTTGAAATTCCCGTTCTTTTCAGTGTAAGCCAAACTGCCTTAAGCCCAGTGTATAATTAGAAAAGCGGACATTTGAAGTGACTGGTACTTGTAGTTCACAAGACCCCCTCACTGTTTAATAAAAGCATGGCTATTCCCAGCTCAGGACACACTCAAAGCTTTCTCACTCCCTTCTGTGGAATGCTCTTGCTTGCTTGAGGAAATTCAAGTTAAATAGCCCTTCAGACATGCTGCCGGGGGCCTGTCGGGCTGTGCCAGTTGCTCTCAATTTAGTGAGCCCAGCTTTGTGCATGTATTTGCTTTTTCTTCCCCTTGCCCAAGGCCAGGACTGGGCCGTGCTTGTGTCTCTTAGACTTGTCACAGTGGCTGAAAGAACTTAATAAATATTTGGTCAATCCAGTTATAAAATCATGCTGAATGGTTGTCTTTTCATTGCCATTGTACCATCTTCACAAGTTACACCAGCCCACCAACAGTCATGTGTATCAACTATCTACACTTGAGTTGGAAGAGTCCTGTCCACTCATGGAAATGCCCCCGAGACCTGGCACTCTTGAATCCTTGGCAGGGCAAGCTCCTCCTCAGAGTGCAACAGACCCCTTTTCATGGATGCAGAGCCTATAACTCCTGAATCTTCTTTTTCATCGACAGGCCCCAGCACATGACAGAACTTGTCATCTGGGCAGGGGACACACTAGTTCCCTATGAGGGTCCAAATTTTAGGGTGAGAGTCCTAGGCTGGCCAGGGCAGAATGTGGAAGAGGGTCACTTCTGACATTTGGTGACAGGAAAAGTTCAGAACTGTGTGTGCTGTCCGTAGCAGTTTATAGTGAGAACAGCGAGGCACAGCTAGGGTTTTGAAGATTTTTATTAAAAACAACACGAGTGCAGAATACTAAAACAAAAGTGGTCAACTCCTCTTTCCCTCCCAGTCTGCTGATATCCCTCCCCCACAGGGCTCTACCTAGATGACCCCAGGGGCCCAAACCTGCCTGTCTGCTACCCCCACCCAATCCCACTTTCCTGCAGCTTCTGACTTGTCCCCTTTAAAAAGATAAAAATACTCCCCTCCCCAACTTGGTTAAAAATATTTTTAAAAGATTAAAAGCTGAATGTGTGTGTATGTGTGTGTGTGTATGTGTGTGTGTGTGTGTTTTAAAATAAACACTTAAAATGCTGAGTGTCTTGCTCTTCCCCCTAGGCCTGGCTCTGGGGTGTCTGCCTCCTCACCCACCCCAGGAGGACAGATACCACTTGGTGCCCCTTGGAAATGTTCAGGAAGTAATTCCTTCCAAATTTCCCCTGAAGTCACAGATTCCACAAACTGCTTGTATCAACACACATTCTTCATTATGGGCACCGCTTCCCTGTGCTGGGAAGCAGGTCTCTTTTTGTCAACTAGACCACATGCTTCAGATTCCCTGCAAACAGGACAGAAAACAGAATTCAGGTTCAGGTAACATATGCCTTATATACCACAATAGAGCTGAGAAGAAGAAAATATGTATTTATATTTTGGGGCCAGTTCTCCTGCTGAGAATGGGAATTTGGTGACCCTCTTTTATGTGAGTAAGCCTTAAATGATGAGGGACAAAGGGCTTAGATACCCTTGTCATCCTAGAAAGCAATACACAAATCAGCAAGATTTTTGACCACCGTCTAGGTCAAGCAGAACAACCACGTGGCTGATCCCAGGTCCATCACCACTTCAGATTTATGAACCAAACAAATGGTTGTTACACACACACACACACACACACACACACGTGTGCACATCCAGGTAATAATTTTCAGAGGTCCCAGGTAACTGCATCAAATCTTCCTTTACCCCAACCTTTCTGTCCCTCTTAGCAGGGCACAACCCTTCTGGCATTTCCCATGCAGTATGGAGTAATGGGGGTCTTCCCTTTCCTTCAGGCCAAGAGTTCTGTTGGAAAAGCTCTATACAGGACGGGGCTCTAAAAGAGATCAGTTTGTCCACTTGGTCCTTGGTCAGTCTTCTCTTTGCTCCATTTCCTTGTGTAGAAACACCAGAGTCCAAGTTCTACTGCCTGCTTGTCTTTTTTGAAACAGGAAGAATACTGTTCTATTTAAGTTCCAAAATCTAGTACAGTGCCTCACACCAGGAGGTATATAGTAGATGGAGAATGATGGATGAGTGGAAGAGGGAAAGAGGTACTCAGAAGAAGAAGAAGAAAAAAAAAAAAAAACAGTTGCTTTTCTACTTAAGAAAATCTTAGGTTTTGGTGCTGGGGATCAAATCCTGATTCCTGTGCATACTAGGTAAGTGTTCAATGATTGAGTTCTACATGTGTAAGTTTAAAATTAATCTATAATAAAATTGACTTTCTTCCATGAACACACACACACACACACACACACACACACACACACACACACACGTTCTTGATACCCCTAAAGCCTTCAGTGCCATTCTTTTGCAGTCACATCCTCCTGCCTACCTGACAGCCACTGATGTGCTCTCTGTCACTATAGTGTTGCCTATTCAAGAATGCCATATAAGAGCTAGATGGTGGTGGCACACGCCTTTAATCTCAGAACTTGGGAGGCAGAGGCAGGTGGATCTCTGTGAGTACAAGCCTGGTTTACAGAGAGAGTTCCAGGACAGCCAGGGCTGTTACACAGAGAAACCCTGTCTCGAACCCCCACCCCCACCCCACCCCAAATAATGCCATATAAATGGAATCAAAAAGTACAGCTCCATATGAAGTTGCAAATAACAGCAACAACAAAACTCACAGTATGGAGAGAGCCCATGTAACCTTCACCAGGGTTTTTCCAATTAGCATCTTACATGACAATTGTTCATATCAAAACTAGGAAGTTGACATTCGCATATTTCATAGATATTATTTGTATTTAATGAGTCTGACATTTACTTGTGTGTTAATAAGTATACAATTCTATACTAGCATTTTCGATCATTGTACTGCTCTTCAGATCTATCCAAAGGGGGGGGGTGGATAGAGAGGTGAGAAGGCTGAGTATGATTGATGTATATGATACACATGTATGAAAATGCCAGTGAAACATTATTTTGTGTAACTAATAAATGTAAAAAACCCCATCCATGTTGCTGTGTGCATGAAAATACCAGTGTGTGTGGCAGAGTCTGTATAACCACCACCCACTGAAGTGACAATAGAGCCTTTTGGCTGTTGTGAATGAAGCTTCTATGAACATTCACATACAGGTTTTATGTGAACATAATGTATACTTATTGTCCTTTTTAAGACAGGGTTTCTCTGTATATAGCCCTGGATGTCTTGGAACTTTCTCTGTAGAACAGGCTGGCCTTGAACTCAGACATCTACCTGCTTCTGCTTCTTAAGTACACTTATTTGTACAAGAAAATTCTATAAGCCAGGTGGTGGTGGTGCACACCTTTAATCCCAGCACTCAGGAAGATCACTGGTCTACAGAGCTAGTTCTAGGACAGCTAGGGTTGTTACACAGGAAACCCTGTCTCGAAAACAACAATACCAACAAAAGCTTGTGGTGGTGCACACGTTTAACCCCATTGATATTCTTAGCAGGGATCTGGTAGGGAGCAGGTTTCCCTACAATATGTAGAATTGTTTGTTTTGCCTGTTCTGATGGGTGCATAGTACTATTTCATTATGATTTCACTTTGATGTCTCCTAATAGCTAATGATGTTAAACATCTTTTATGTGTTAATTTGCTATTTGTATATCCCTTTTTATGTCTTATGCTCAGTTTTTAATTTGTATTTTTTCTACTGTTGAGTTTGGAGAGCTCTTTGTATGTTTTAGATACACATCTGTTGTTGGGTATGATTTGCAAATATTTTTATCTCAGTACATTTGTTATCTCTTCATTCTAGTAGCAAGTCTTTTGTAAAGCTAAAGTTAATTTTGATGAGGCCAAGTTCAGCAGTTTTTTTTTTTTTTTTGGATCATGTTTTTGGTGTTTGAAAGTAACTCAAAAATCCTTGGACTGTGCCTGATTCTTTATGTTCCTTTGTCTTGGGGATTGCCAAACCTAACTTCAAGATGTGTCTCAGTGCTGTCTCCTTTCTCTTGCACTATACTATCTTAACCTTTGTCACATGCCTTTATTCAGGTCACTGCCTCAGACTCTTCACTGATGCTCTTGATTGTAGGGCTGCTTCTTGATCAATGCAAACTGTGGTCCACACCCTTTCTTGAGCCAAGAAACTTCAGTATTTCCTGACTATCTGGGAGTAAAGCCTAAAGCCTTATCCTAGACTGGACTCCATACATAGGTCCTGTACATACATGTGGGCCTCTGCTGAGGGCAGCCCACAAGGGACCCTACTGGTGAAGTAAGGATCCCTTTATCTGTAAGCATAGCTAGTGCTTGGGGAATAAATAGATACATGAAAGAATAAGACTCTGTCATGTGATTTAGTAACAGAAGACACAGAAAGGAAAGGTGGGTGCTGTATTCTATTATGCCTGACTTGCTCTGTCATTACATTTGGAGGTAATTAAGTAAAACAGCAGAAATAATTTCCACCAAAAGTTGATGAGGAGCAACATTGAATTTGGGTAACAAAAAACATGTAAGCTAAAATAATACCCATTGTTTTTCTCCTAATGTCCAGCTTTTCTAGCATTGGGTGATAGTCTGAGAACATTCTAAAGGCCAACACAGTTTGAAACCTGGAAGACAGTGCAAGAGAAAGTTGAAAATAGCACTAACTCAGAGACATTTTGAGATTAGGATTCAGATCAGAGAGGGGTAAACCTAAATGCCAAGAGAGCCAGAGAATCTATTGCATGTGAGCAAAATCCAACTAGGGCAACACATGGAGTTGCTATGATGCTTTTATCATTTTGCTACCTTGACTCATGACCAGAATAATAAGTAGTTTCCTGCTTTCCTTTCATTCCAACACTTGGGCTCAGAAGCAGGCAGATCTGTCCATTCGAGGCCAACCTGGTCTGAATAGTGAACTCTAGGGCAAACTCGTGATATATAGTTAGGCCTCATCTCAAAAGCAGTTTCCCTTTTTCTCAACTACTATAAAAATAAAGAAAACTAAAACAGTGTGAGTGGAAACCCATGCTTGGCCTAGAGTAAGACATAAAATGGGAGGGATAGGGTTTGAGGCAAACAAGATGCACATGCTTGCCAAGTGGATCTAGCCATTCATTACCAGGCTGCCATATAGGCCCCATGTGTCTATATTTTTCATTTCCCAAGTGAAGTCAGAAATATACATTTTAATGCAAAGTTTCCACAGTGTTAAATGTGGGTGACTGAAACTTTTAAAGAATATGAATAGTCAAATCACCTTTGAAAGCAAAATGTAGCTTGTGGCCTGTTTATAATTTCTAGTTTATACTCAGGATGCTCCACTTCCTTCTCGATATTCATGTCTGGATAATTAATTATACTAAGACTTCACCTCTGATATACAAGAAGACCTTCTGAACCAGCACTCAGGAGGACTTCTGATTCATTGGTTGATTCCTTTTGGTTTTCTGAGACAAAGTCTTGCTATGTAGCTCAGTCTGGCCTCAAAATGAAGATTCTCCTGCCTCAGCCTCCCAAGTCCTGGGATTACAGGGTATACTACCATTGACAGACTCATTTGCAATCTAGTTTTTCAGTGAACATTTATGTAGTGGTTCCCTTGTGCTATGTCTCTTGCTAGGTGCTAGGAAGCCTTTTTATTAGTCTTTCTTTTTTCAGTTGATAGATTTAGATTGATACACTCATCTACAGAATGTCATCTGGGTTACTTCTATATCTGGATGATTATGAATAAAGCTGCTATAAACATTCATGGGCAAGTTTTTTTCATGGACATGGGCTTTAAGTTCTTTGGGTAGATACCAAGGAAGCAATTGCTGGATTGTATAGTAAAGAGTGCTTACTTAGCTTTAGCACAAACTGGTAAACTGTCTTCCCAAGTATCTGCACTATTTTAGCCCTAACAAATACTGAGGGGTCCTATTACTCCATGTCCCCTCCAGAACTTGGTGTTGGCAGCATCTGCTCTAATAGTGTGCAGTGATGTCTTGTTTGTTTGTTTTTGTTTTTTTGAGACAGGGGTCCTCTGTATTATTTTGGAGCCTGTCCTGGAACCAGGCTGGCCTTGAACTCATAGAGATATGCCTGCCTCTGCCTCCCACGTGTTGGGGTGCAGTGATATCTTGTTGCCTTTATTTGCAGTTCCTTTGTGGCACACAATGTTGGACATCCACCCATACAGTTTCTTGCTATCTGCATATCTTTCATGAGTTTCCTTTCACATTTTTGCCATTTCTAAGTTGGGTTCTTTGTTTTCTTATTGTTAAGTTGGTTCATATAGTGTATATATTTCTCTAGCCTGGTTCTACTGTCAGAGGTCCCTTAGACTGTCCAGGCCTTCTAACTGAGATCCACATTCAGGGAGTCTGAGACAGT